TGAGGACCGCCCCAGGAAGGGAAGACCAGGAGTCACCTCTGCTGCTGAGGATAAATAGAATTTTATATATAATTCTAAATGCAAAAAAGTCAAATTTAGAAAGTGTTTCTAACTTCTTCACTTGAAAAAAAAGTGACACAGTGATCTTCATCCTTCATCTTGGTGAAGGAAGCAGATTTAAAGATTTAGGATTCTCGTTTAAATCGGGCTTTTCCTGCTTGCTCATAGGAGGATGTTTGAGTTTGGGGGTCTTCTCTGTATTATTAGCATCTTAACCTTACAATATAAAGCACCTTGAGGTGATTGTTGTTGTGATTTGATGATGTGTAAATGAAACTGAACTGAACTGGCACTATGTTAACCATTTGAAAAAAGATGCAGGAACCTGCCCTGCAACGGTGCGCTGCATAGTGCTGCTCCTCTGGCTCAGTGCTGCCATGGGGTTTATGAGGAGGCCAGGTTTACCTTCATGCAGAAATCCCCAAATCAATATGAAGGAGAACAGGAGAACGTTCATTCTGAACATCTGGATGTGTCGCTTCCTGTCCATGCAAGTAAACGGAAAGGACCTGAGGTCACGCAGAGCTTCATCTTTAAGCCTCGGAGAAAGAAATGCATCGTGTGTGCACCGAAACAAGCAGCTGGTCCTCAGACTGTCGCCACAGCAGAAACCTGTCATTACCAAGGTGAGCGCACAGTTATCCATGAGGCAGAGCGAGCAGCAAACTGACCCACGTGTTCTCTGGATCCAGCAGCAGTTTATCTAACAGCCCAAACAGGCACAGGGAGAAGATGCAAACAGCAGCGTGACGCCTCCTCCTGAATATTCTGTTTTATCAGACTAACCTTTAAAATGTTGTCAGCGGCTATTTCAGTCGCTGCTTTGTGTAAAAATCTTTCAGCATCTGTCAGCAGGCACATCTGTTGCTGAGCTGCAGGTTTCAAGATTCACAGGAAAACTGATGAACACATGAAAATGCTCTCCAATGCACCTCCCACCAGTTTCATCCAGCAACTGGAAGCCTCCCAGTCTGTTCTGCTGCTGCTGCATTTCATTTTACTGGTGGTGGAAGTTTCATCATATCCCACAGACGTCTGTGTGGCTTCAGACTTTTGGTGATTTTCCACCTCAGGCTTCGTGGAAAAAGACGGCGACGTGGAGGCTGGAGGCCTGTGGGTCTGTTATAGGGCTGAGTCTCAAACACTGCAGCCAATCAGGACGTGCGAGGATGACCCGCAGGTCTCTGCTGTGAGAAAAATTCCATATTCTCTGAGGTTATGAAACCATTACTCAGTCAGAGCTGAACATGTGAAGCGCATGTGTTTGGGCTGAGAGTCATTTCCACTTCCTGTCCTCGTCTCCTCACTGATATCCATCAGGAAGCTTCAAAAATCACTTAGAAATAGTTGCCGCGATCCAGCAAGAAGTCTGAAATCTAAAATCGTCTTATTTTAATCAAAGCACAATTAAACCTTTGAACTAACTCAGCGTTTTCTGTCTAAAGAAGCCAAAGACTTCACACAACACCCACGTTTAAAGGAAGCTTTTTATGTTTGTATTGTTCATTTGTTCACTTTGGTTTGAGGACGTGCAGGTTTGTTTGTTTCAGTTTCATTTTCAGCTTCTTCACGTTTGATCAAACTAACAGAAACTAAAACTGACATGTTAGATTTTGGTAAATGGCCTGTATTTGTATAGCGCTTTACTTATTCCCTAAGGACTCCAAAGTACTTTACACTACATTCAGTCATCCACACATCCACACACTGGTGATGGCAGCTACATTGTAGCCACAGCCACCCTGGGGCGCACTGACAGAGGCGAGGCTGCCGGATACTGGCGCCACCGGGCCCTCTGACCACCACCAGTAGGCAGTAGGTGAAGTGTCTCGCCCAAGGACACAACGACTGAGACTGTCAGAACCGGCAACCTTCCAATTACAAGACGAACTGCCAACTCTTGAGCCACGATCGCCCATTTTACTTTGCAAGTATAGTTTATATTCTATTTCTACTAAGAAAGTATTTTTTTCACATCTGGTTTTAGTTTTTAGTTTAGTTTCAGTTAAGAGAGTTTATGTTTACCCATGGACCCTGAAGGCAGCACCTCTTACCTCACACAAACACGTGAAACACATCAAGGCCTCAAACAGTGAAGCAGTTAAAGACAGCAGCCTCTTTAAAGGTAAACTGAAGGGTTTCATAGTTTTTCCATCAGTGCTGAAAACAAGGAAACGCAGAGATCGTTAATCGACTCGAGATCACAAACCGAAACCCCCCAAATACCTTCCTGTTTTCTAAAACAACAGTTTGCATCCATGCAGTGTTTATAAGAGACACACAGCCTCTGAGTGACGACCTAGACCTGCATTGTTTGCAACAGCCAGCAGGGGGCTACAATAACACAGAGAAAACCTCAACAATCACGCAACCCCTCTATGAGCAAGCACATGGCCACAGTGGGAAGCAAAAACTCCCCTTTAACAGGAAGAAACCTGGTAATCATCTGCTGTGGCTGGTCAGGAGTGAGAGGAGGACGTCTATGAGACAAGGAGCCTCACCTCAGCTCAGTGAACACTTACCTGATGACTTTGGTCTCAGTGCCTTCAGGTTTGTAGAAGCTATCTGCATTTCTACACCTGTGGTCATGGAAGTGATGGAACACATCCGGATGGTTGAGTGACAGAGTGCGAGCTTTAAAGGACCGACACTTGGAAGCAAAGTCCATGCTGATATTAAGCAGTCAGACTTGGTGTCACGAGGTTCATTTCCAGTCTTTGGGATGACCATTCTCAGAGGAATGCTTTTGTTTGCTTAAACCTCTTAATCCCAATCTATGAATCATTCAAGCATAAAAAGGCTCCCAACTGAAGGGATGAATTGGTGTTGTGTCGACACGTAACAGACAAGTTAGCAAAGAACCTGTTTGAGCTTCAGGCTCTTTGTTACGAGCCGCCTGTCACAGAAACACATCACTGACGGCTAATAAGTTTCTTAATTATTTTGTGGACAAGGTTGCTAGTTTGAGACCTCCGACTCTACCTATTGCTGACCCAGCCATGCATGGTTCTTGCTCAAGTTTGTTCTCTGCTTTTCTACCAATTGTTTTATCTGATTCAGAGAAACTTGTGCTGAATGCTAAACCGTGTGGCTCTCCAAATGACGTTGTTCCTCCCCGTTTTCTTAAAAAGGTATTTCCTATCATCAGACCACACATTCTGAACATTATTAATACTAGTCTTTTGTCTGGTCAGGTACCTAGGTAATTTAAGCATGCAGTCATGCATCCTTTACTTAAGACAGTTCAGTCATGTCAAATTTTAGACCCATCTCTAAGCTTCCCTTTCTTAGTAAGATTCTGGAAAGGATTGTTTATACTCAGTTGATGGACTACTTGAATGACTCTAAATTGTCAGAAATCTTTCAGTCCGGCTTTAAGCCATTCCACAGTACGGAGACAGCCCTCGTAAAAGTTATGAATGACTTCCTGATAGCAACAGACTGTGGTAAATATGCAGTGCTGGTCTTGTTGGACATGACCGCTGCATTTGACACAGTGGATCACGATTTGCTGATCTCCAGCTTGCAGCACTGTGTGGGAATTTCTGGTTTGGCACTTTTGTGGTTAAAGTCCTATCTCTTATGTAGGACCTTTTGTGTTAAGTTGGGGTCGGCTTCATCCTCTGTGGCCCCTCTGCTTTGGGGTGTGCCACAGCGATCTATTCTTGGGCCGTTATTGTTTTCGTTGTACCTTTTGCCTCTTGGCGCGATTTTCCGAAAGCATAAAGTGCCATTCCATCTATACGCAGATGACTGCCAGCTCTACTTACCTTTTAGTCATTCTGATAGTCTCCCAACTGGACCTCTGCTTGACTGCCTTACTGATGTCAAAGCATGGATGGCAAAAAACGTTTTAAATTTTAATGATCGGAAGACAGAAGCAATTTTATTCGGCCCAAATCGTTCTTCTCATACTCTGGATGTTGATCTTGCAGCTTTGACTTCCCAACTAAGGAGTTTGATCACAAATCTCGGAGTTAAAATTCTGCACTTCTGTACAATCAGCATTTTATCAACTCAGACGTTTATCAAAGGTTAAGCCCTTTCTTTCCAAGCGTGACTTGGAAAGTGTTATTCATGCCTTTATTACCTCACGTTTAGATTATTGCAATTCTCTTTTAACAGGGGTTGGGCAGGGCACTTTGTCCAATTGCAATTAGTGCAAAATGCTGCAGCACGATTTTTAACTGGCAGAAGGAAATTTGATCACATCACTCCGATTTTGGCCTCTTTACACTCGCTTCCTATTGAATTTAGGATCCGTTTTAAAGTCCTTTTATTGGTTTTTAAATCTCTAAAATGGTCTGGCACCTGTTTATTTGTCTGACAGCCCCACGTCCCCACTCGTTCCCTTCGGTCAGCTGAGCAGTTGCTGCTTTCGGTCCCAAAGTCACGGCTGAAACTTAGAGGAGACCGAGCGTTCTCTGTTGCTGCGCCGATGCTTTGGAATAACCTTCCTCTCCATATTAGACAGGCTGCATCAGTGCCAGTTTTAAGTCTTTGTTAAAAACCTATTTTTATTCCCTGGCTTTTAACTCTGTGGATAACTGATTCATTATTATTTTTTATTTTATTGCTATGTCTGGTTTTATTACTATGTGCATATTGGCAGCAGCTTCATTTTCAGCATAACAATGCCGTAAAAGCACACCTGGTCTATCGGTCATGGGTCGGCCTCCCCAGAGTCGGACCTCAGCGTTACTGAAGCAGTGTGGGATCATCCTGACAGAGAACAGAAGGAAAGGCAGAAACACCCAAAGAAGAGCTTTGAACATCCTTCAAGAAGCCCTGAGAATAAAGGTGCTACACCAAATATTCGCTTTAAGCTCACCGGAGTCGCGCAAACTCTGATTTTGCCTTTATTTCCATGTGTGTTTGCATGTTTCCCTACAAAATATGAAGAAATGAAATGTGCAGCAATCTTAGCTGAAACACAGACGCTCGTTATAATCATTTTATTTACAAACTGGTTTTTAATTCTTACAGTGACGTCGTTGCTTCAGTACAAATACAATAAAACCTGAATTCTGAGCCAAAGCAGCACTGTCACATGTTTCTTCTTCTACTCTCGACAATCAGCAGTAATCACGAAGCTTCCTGTGCTGCATTGTTTCTGTTTTCCCGCCTTTTTCTCGGCTCGGCCGACACAGTTTCCTGCGCTTCCTGAAGCTTTTCCTGTCCTGTATAAACACTGCAGCAGCTCTGTGGGCAGGAGCTTCTACCCCCAGGCTCTTTATCCTATCATAAAGCTCAGCAGCGCCCTCCAGCAGCTACAGCTAAAATGACTGTAGGCTTTATTGTATTAAAGCTTGCCTCATGATTTCATTTTTAATTGCTTATTTTAGATTTTTCATGTGCGGTTTTTGTTATGAACAGAAGCTTGTTTCAGTACATTTTTTACATCATAAATTCAAAATTTCAGGTTCAGTATCCCCAAATTTTATCTTACTTAGTCAAACTTTTTGGGCAAATTTTGGTTCATAAATGGCAGAAAATCTTTTTTTCTATGATAGAAACAAGCTTCCAGAGTTCAAACAGTGAACCATTTGTTCTAACTATGATATTTTTTACTGTGTTATAGGAAAAGCAACATGTTCAGACATTAAAATATATGCTGCACTTTTGTGCGTGCTGATGAAGACCTCATGACTCAGAGGTCCAAACTGACCCGCTAACCCTGAACCGTCATCCTGGTGACCCTGAATGACCTGGAAGCTGCCGGCTAAAATCATTGGATGTCCTCAGAGCTCAGCTGATGTCAGACAGCGTTATCGAGCAGCTCTCGGTGGAAAATCAATCAGCGGCTGTCAGATCTCTCACACGCCACAAATACATGTTCAGTCTGTTTTTACATGAAGAAGACGCAGCTCACGCCTTTCTTCTTCTTCTTCCCGCTGCTTCCTGTAGTTCCCAACACATGCCTCTAAAATCAGCTGAGGGAGGGCCCCAGAAAGTCAGTGGTTAAGAAGCTGCAGGACAGAAACCGGGGATTCTGGGAAAATGAGTTTCTTTAATCATTTCTGTTACAGACACACTCCTCCTGCGTGGTGAAACAGCGCCCCTCTGGGTTCTAATGGCTGGTACATGTAAGTCAGTTCGTGTGGCCAAAGACGGTACTGCAGCCAGACAGTAACCTCCGTGAGATCAAAGTTCTCTGAAGCTCTGAGACCTGAAAAAACCTGAATTAAGGTGGGAGGAAGGAAGAAAAGAAGGAAGTATTCTTTCCGTCCTTGCTTTATTTCCTGCTTCCTTTCATTTACATCATTCTTCTCCTTCCTTCCTGTCATGTGACAGTTTAGATGAAATGTGTTTTTCTGTGACAATAAAATCCACCACAGAAGAAGAAGCATGTCCTACACCTGAGAGTGTCCTGTTTCCTCCTTGGAGCAGGTGGAGGGCAGCAGCTTCCTGTCAGCTCACTCCTTTGACGGCTCCTCTTCCTTCTCCTTCGTCTCCTCCTTCTCCTCCTCCCCCCCTCTCTCTCCTGCCTTCATCTCCACGGTGAGAAGCTCCTCCCCTTTGTGCCGCGGCGTCATCCTGATGATGACCGAGCTGTCGGCTGTTTCTGCCACCGTTTCCTCTCCGTCTTCCGGAGCTGGACTCAGGGGTACCGGAGACCGGCGGTGCATTGGAGAAGGGGGCGGGATTGGAGAAATGGAGGGAGGAGCCTGAAGAACAAAGAAGGAAAGGACAGGATGAAAGATGGAGGACAAAATGACTTTCCTTTGCTGCTGGTCTCTAAGGGCGTCTCCAAAACACACAGGAAAAATCCAAATCCTGAAAAACCCACGATTAATTTTTGATCCCTTTTATCTTCCTTCCTTTCCATCTTTCCTTTCCAGTCTTTCTTTTTACTTCCTTCATGCTTTTCTTTATTCCTTCTTTCCTTTCCAACTTTCATTCTCCTGTCCTTCCACCCTTCCTTTCTTCCTTCCATCTTTTCTTTCTTCCTACCCACTCTTCTTTTCTTCTTTTTACCTTCCATCCTTCCTCACTTTCTTCCTTTCTAACTGCTCCTTTCCTTTATTTCCTCTTTCCTTCACAAACATCCTTCCTTCCTCTTTTCCTTCCTCCCTTCTTTCCTTGCTTTCTTTTCTTTCCACCTTTCCTTTCTTCACTTCTTTATTATTTCCTTTCTTCCTTGCACCGTTACTTCCTTCCTCACCTCCTCCTTGCTTTCTTTCATCATTTCTACTTTTTTTCTAAAATTCCTTACCGCCCCCCACTGTTCCTTCCTTCCCTCCTAGTTTGTGCTGTCTCCCAGGTGCTTTGCTCCTCTACAGAACTCCATGGCTAACATTAGCTAACATTAGCTGACATGAGCTAACATTAGCTAACGTTAGCTACCTCTACCTAAGAAATGGAGTCTGCTAATTTGAGAAAACTCTATGTGGGCACAAAAATAAAAGCTGATCCAGGTTCTGAGAGCGTTTAACGTTATCAAGTAAGTTAAGGTCAAGCAGTTTTAGTGATTGAGGTGAATGTTTCCCGAAAACAAACGAGCAAATTAGCTTTTATATGAACATTTCTATCAAGGGATGATGTTCTAAATCTGTTTCTTACCAATCAGCACGCATTAGGACATGAATCGTTTCATTTCAGTTTTGACACATTACTGATATTCCTAATATGGCAGTGGACGCAGTAGCCCCTCCCACCTGCTGATCAAACCTTCTGTCTATGAAGAAGACCCAGTCAGAATAAAGCTGGTTTAAAGAGGAGGAGTTAAACAGCTCATTTCAGACAAGGGATAACGTGAGGGCCTCCACAACAGTGCAGCATCAGATTAAGGTGGCTTATTATAAACTGTGAATCATTCAAAGCTGCTCTGGTGGAGTCACTGAATAAAGCACTGAAAAGAACCTTTCAGTCTCCTCACTTTATCTATCTATCCTTCCTTCCCTGCAGCTGCACAGAGGTGATGTGGTGATGCTGGCCTACCTGTGCCTCTCCCGCCTCAGACGGTCTGTATACTTTCTTCAGCTTGGCGAAGGTTCCCTCGATGCCTGCCTGCTCCGTCACCTTCAGGGCGGCCTTGAACATTTCTGGTGTGTCCGGTCGTGGCGGGATGACTGTCTTTGCACCTTTACCCTCCTCCTTCTCCTCCGGCTTCTTGTCCTTCGTCAGCATCTTCCTGCACAAAGACAAACACAGGGCGGCAGTCCAGACAAGCTCAGAAACTGAAAACCTTGCTCCTACATCTCCAAACCTCCACAATCTGACATTCAGCAGCTCCGGCGGCTGCCGCGGCTCCGGCCGGTCTGCTTCAGCGCCATGGCCTGACTGAGCAGATAAAGGAAGGTGGATCACCTCAATGAGCTGACCCGATTCTCAAACACAAACTAGAGCGAGCGCCGTGAGTTGATTAGAGGTGAGTCTAATCCTGTCCCGGACAGAGAGATCAGACAAACGAGAGGAAGGCGAGCTGAGGAAGCAGCAGAAACAATCAGCCTCCTATTAACTGATGGTTGTTATTAGCAAGTGGGGCTGCTTTACTGACATGCTGGATCCGCCTCCAGCCGGATGGTGACCAGAGTCCGGCTGGTTAAAGTACAAATCTGTCCTCAGGTATTCATCTGTAAACTGTGGTAACATAAGTGTGTCTCTACAGACTCTGCAAGGTCATGAATGCAGTGAATCAGTATTTATTAATAATAGTGTTCCTACTGTGACAGGACAACAGGACCTAACCCTTCCAGCTCAGTGTGAGAGTCTTTACTGCTGTTTATAAAACAGAGCTGGTGGGACGCAAACACTAACCTCGTTGTCTCTCCACCCGACGGCCGTGGTTTGGACAACGTGTTGCAGGTTAGCAGGTTCTGTAATAGTTCTCCACCTTAACTTCCCAATAAACCCTGACAATATGCTTTAAAAATGCCAAGAAGGTTTCTTGGGGTTACGATGGCAGCCATAAACCAGAAGGTTGTAGCTGAAGTCTTTGCTGCTGCGAGAGTAAAGATGCTGACTCGAAGACGAGCTGGTTGTGTTTAAATGTCGTAATTCGGTGTGAAAGGACTCGCATTTGGATTAAAATAATTAAACTGCGTTCCGCTCTAACAGGGTCTCGGTCTTACTTGGCCTTCTTGCGCAGCAGTTTTTCGGACTCGGGGTAATGCACCAGGATCTCTGCCAGGTCATTCTTATCCAGGATGAACAAATTGGCAAATCCGTGGGCCTTCACGTTGGCTGTGCGCCGGTTTCCTCCGCCTCCCGCCAGCAGACTGACCAATCAGAGACCACAGAGAGTTTTTTCAAAACATCCTTTATTATGATTATTGATCATGAAAAACTAATCTACTGACATGATTTCACTTTTTTGAAACATTTAACACCCTGTTGGGTAAATTTCATTCTCCCTCTGTGGTATGAAAGTTGTCTTATTTTTATCATTTTAACAAAACATAATCACAGTATGATGATATATCTATAATATATTTCAGTCTGGCGTGCTGCCCAGCCGCACATCCTGAGAACGATTGAACGTCTTTATTTGCAGCCGCCACGTGCAGGTTTTTAATTGTTTAACAGGATGACGGGAAGCAGCTCTGACCTGATCTCTCCAAACACCGAGCCGGCTCTGATGGTGACGAACACCGTCTCCAGGTCAGGACCGCCCACCACCTGAACCTCGCCCTGCTTGATGATGTACATCTCCCTGCCGATCTCCCCCTGAAACACAAACACACACACACACACACATACACACACACACACAGAGTCTGTGTCACCATCAGCTCAGTAACACCTCTGCCGGCTCGACAGGTGCGTTCTTACCTTTTTACAAACAAAGTCTCCGGGCAGGTACACGACAGACTTGAGCCTCATTAGCATGTCAAACACCATCTGCCTGTCACAGCCCTGAGACACACACACACACACACACACACACACACACACACACACACACACACACACACACACACACACACACACACACACACACACACACACACACACACACACATTTATGCATTCATGTGTATAAAAATGTTTTTATTTTTTATTCGCCGTTTCTGACCTGAAACAGGGCGACTTTACTGACGATGGCGTAGTTAACGTCCACGGCGATGTCCATCCTCATCTTATCGGGAAGCTGGATCAGAAGCTCCTGCTCATCTGCACACGGGACACCACAATGCTCACTGTTACTTTGAACTCGAGGCGTTCAGGGACCAGGTCTCAGACAGCTTCTCTCAAACATTTCTTACCCAGCATGCCCTGGCTCTTCCAGGTGTAGTCGTACCAGGTCTTGATGCGGTTCTGGACCTCGCGAGGGATGTTGTAGGAGGTCATGTACTTAACCGTGCTGTCCATACAGGCACGGTAGTAGTTCTCTCCGGCAGTCGCCGCTCCAACTACATCCCTCATCTGACACATTGCACCAAAAACCAAAGGGGGCGGAACCACGTTAGGTCATGGATGGCCAAAAAGAAGCAGAGCTGTAAATGGTGGTTTTACCGACCTGACCGATCATGATGGAGAAAGCAAAGACGCCAACAAAGTAATTAATGAGTTGGAAGCAGATTTCAAAGACAGTGGTTGGGTCGGGCAGTCCTCCAATGGTGATCAGCGTCTTCACGGCAAAGTAGTAACAGCGGATGTACCTGCAGGAATGAAAACAGTCCATCGATTCATGAAGAGCTTCAGCTTTAGTTTAGTGGAAATGCACTTTTAAGATATTCTAACCTGATTTGAAGAACCTAGAACATTTTAAAATTCAAACTTCTACTGGGTTTTGATTCCTTCAAGGATTTCAGCAAAATGCAACATAAAGCTGACGAATCTGTGATAGTTAAAATTTAATTATATGGGTAAATTCAATCAATAACCCAGCCACAGCTGTGAGGCCAAACTAACCATCACCTGTGGATCAGAGACACAGTATAACACATTCACATCAGAAATTTCCTGTCAATTACAGTGAATAAAAGGTTTTGTTACAATAAGTCGGTGACCCTGATGTTAGTAGATCTGTCCACTGATGTCTGAGCTACAACTATAACCAAATCAGACACAGTGAAAATGAAGCACGATCACACTGCTCCAGTTTTACAGATGACGTAACTGCCATACAGTCTGTTTGCCCTGTTGAAGAGCAAACAGTTATGGCTCTTCTATATTCAGATTTCCTCTTTCTTCCTCATTCTGACATCCAGAAACAGACAGAATCAGTCTCACATCGTTAACATTGAACCCTTCTTATTGCAAAAATATAAATCTGAATTCTTACGCGTTGCCTTTTCCATTGTAGACCCACTTGGTGGATCCCAGTCCTTCATAATCGGAGCCCCAGTAGAAGAGGCAGGCGTTGATGTGCAGGGAGTACAGCAGGTACATTGAGGTTCGGATCACCCTGACATACAGCGGCAGAAACAAAAATAACATCAAAAATTCAAGAACAGCAACAAGAAAGAGATCTACTGAAATAAATTATATTTAACCTGGGCGTTCCTCAAGGATCCAAACTGGGGCCACTACGAATGCATTTAGGCTTTTTGCAGATGGTACACTGTTTTTGTTGCTCTGGGTAAAAACTCTTTTGGCCATTTTTTGGTGCCTAAATGACAAAACCTTCTCCCATCAAAATAAAACTAAAATGATGACCATTCTTATCAGCTGAAAAAACTGCACCATGTCCCTGAACCCTGCCACTGAAAACTAAACTAAAGTAAAAGAATAAAATAGTTTTTCTGGGTGTGTATTTTATATTTTTATGCTGTTAAATGTAATATTTTACCATTTTTATGTTGCTATTTTCATATTTTCTATGATCTCTGAGGTAAATATTTCTTACAGGGCAGAGTCAAAAAAACATTTATCCTGATCGGAGAAAAGAAGTTTAACGAGGTTTGTGACATCATCACTTGTCAGTTTAGATGTGTGAAGATTCATATAGAGCTAGAGACAAGACTGGCAACCTTCTGGGAACCTCCGGTAATCAGAGATGGGCAGTAATCTGATTACTTTTTTCAAGTCACGAGTAAAGTAAGGGATTACTATTGCAAAAACGGTAAATAGATTACCGTTACTTTCCCGTAGGAGCGCTGCTTTACTGCGTTACTAAAACCATGATTTTTTTTGCGAGAATGTCTCATGACAGTGACGTAAGCGAGTGCGACGTTCGTGACAACAGCTGTGTGCAGATCAACAGTGGATCATATATCGAGTGCAGGAGAGAGTGTGAGCGTGCAGCGTTTAAAGCGTGGAAGTACTGACCTTACTTTGAGTTTGATTCCATAAAAAGTGACAAAAACATTAGTGTCCGTTGCTCACTGTGTGGGAAGAAAACTTCTTTTTACAGCGAAAAAAACCCCCAAACTTCCAAGCAAGCACCGAGTAGCTACGACGTAATGGGAAACTCACAGAGAAACTCGCGGATTAATAATAATAATGGATTGCATTTATATTGGGATGCCTCAAAGCGCTTTACAATACCACTATTCATTCACTCTCACATTCACACACTGGTGGAGGCAGCTACAGTTGTAGCCACAGCTGCCCTGGGGCAGACTGACAGAGGCGAGGCTGCCATATCGCGCCATCGGCCCCTCTGGCCAACACCAGTAGGTGGTAGGTGAAGTGTCTTGCCCAAGGACACAACGACCGAGACTGTCAGCCGGGGCTCGAACCAGCAACCTTCCGATTACAAGACGAACACCCAACTCTTGAGCCACGATCACCCCCCCCCGGATTCTTCAACTGACCGCTGCAGCTCACCTGCACCAGGGTAAACCTCCGCCTACCCCACTCCTGCTTTACAGGTGAAAATAGAGCAACAGGACCGCTGAGTCTTTGATTTGATTTATTTTCTGCAGTGTTTTACTTACTTACTTTGAAAGTAAACACAAAAAAGATTTTATTTTATGTGCTGGAATGTGCAGAAAATAGGTTTAAATGTTAAACTAATTTCTTCCAGTCAGAGAATGTTGCATATAATTAAATTTTTGCTTCATGCATAAAGTTAAAAGATTAAAACTAATAAAACAAGTTTTAAAAAGAGACTTTTCCATTTGATTACATTTTGTATGATGGATTATGCAGAAAAAGTAGAATTGGGCTGAAAGATCTATCGCTCTATCACCTATTCAGGTTGTAAATCGTGTTTTTAAAAAGTAACTAAGTAACTAATTACTTTTGAAAATAAGTAATCAGTAAAGTAACGGGATTACTTTTTGGGGGAAGTAATCAGTAATTAGTTACTGATTACTTTTTTCAAGTAACTTAACTTAGTAACAAATATAGAATGTGCTTCCCTGACTGGTTTGTGAATAGTTCCTGGTGTTTCCTGGTTATTGCTCACAGTAGGACTGCATGTGTCTGATTGTACACATCTTGGCATTATGGGCTTGGAGGCAAACGTTCTCCATTTCTTGCACTTTTTCAAGTTTCACTGCAGCTAAGAATTCAGTTAGTGTTTACAGACAATTCAGAGTCTTCCATCAAATAACAGACGACCGCAGCAATCCTATGGACGGTTTTGGTGCATCGCACTCTTTGGGACTGATGACATCCAGCAACAGCCAGCAACCACTCACCAGCCAGTCAGGGAATATGCTTTCGGTAAAGACAAAAGGCTGCTGGATGGACTGCAAGCCTGTGTGACTGAGACCTAAACGACTGATAAACCTGCTGAAGGTAAACGGGACAAACTACACCCTCAGCAATGAAGTGAAACACTTCCAGGGTGACCATCGTGCCTGTTACGTGGAGAAATTGAGGGCTTATGTTTACTTACTGCCTCCGGGCGTGTTTGATGCTGTGATGACGATTTCATTATGTCATCAACAACGCCTCAAATTATACGGGACAAGATCTGAAGACCTACAAATTTTGGGTGCGTCTTGGTATTTTGTGCCAGGATGGGTTCAAACATCAAACACAGGAACAGGAACAGGTGGACACCGGTCACTGCTGAGGTCTTTAAAACATTTTCTTTACATTTTCACCTTCACACCTCCAACCTGAACAGTGATCCTGAGTGATGTTATGTCCAGGACAAACAGTGGAGAGTGAGGCTGGAGACCTTCTCACCTATAGATGTACGCTTTCTTCATCACAGATTCCATTCTGTCGTTGAACTCAGAGAAAACCATGTACTGAGAGAGGAAAACAGAGGTCAGCTGTTCATCCCGACCACAAAGATCAGCTGTGAACAAAGCAGAAAAACCTTCTGACCTTCAGCAGGCGAGGGAACCTCAGCAGAGAGTTGACTCCAGTGAAATAGTAAAATACCTCCAAAGGAAACAGGCTGATGATGTCCATCTGCAAAGCACACAGCAAACACTCACCAGGGGGAAACCAAAGGGTTAAAGAAGTTCTAGAGATCTGAATCAATCCGTACTTTATATTCAGGTTCTCTGAATATAAAGTACGGAGACAGCTGAGGTTGTGCTGAGTTTAAAAAACTGTGTGCACAATGTAAAGACGCAAAAATATCAAAGATGCAGACTCGTTTGTTTTGTTAGGATTCATGAATCTATAGGATTATAACATCTTTTTTCCAGCAGCGTACACATATTTTAGCATCCACATTACCAGATACATCAGCCATCACTAGAAGCCAGATTTTATAAACCGGTTTATATTTATACATCTTATAAACCCACTGGTCCTGTTTTTAAGACTTGTCCATTGGCATCTTAGATTTTTGAAGCCAGACCTCATAAATGTGCTTTATCACTTTTCCCCTGTAATGTGACCATGATTCACAAAATAAAGATCAACTTTAATGTACTAATATTTAAAACTAGAGACTGAGACTATAAACTGTGTTTACTGAGGTCAGACTTTACATTCGCCCCCTGCTGGACGTTAGAGAGAATGCAGGCTTCCACAGAGAGTTATGGTTTTTATATACAACAGCAGATCCTAAACTTCAGATGAATGCAGCAGTTTTAGAAATATGAAAATCTTTTCTATCCCAGCCGAAGCTTTAGTGACAGCTGTGTTTCTTTATTATTATTTTTGATCTCATCATTTTAGTTTTTCCTGCTATTTGAAAAAAGAGAGTTCCGGGTTGAGAAAAGGTCAAAGGGAGAATAACGTTTGTTATTTTAAGTGATTTGATTTGTTTTTTAAAAAGGGAATATTAAAATGTAAACCCAATTAAAACATAATTTTTTTTAAATTATTCATTGTATTTTCTAACTTCCTGTGGCCCGCTTGCAGTACCTTTACCATCCACCAGGTGGCCCTGGCCCAAAGTTCTCACCTTAAATCTCTCTGTGGTCATGTAGTGCTCCCTCATGTCCTTCTTGTCGCACTGTGGAAAAGAAGTTCCAGATCAAAGGTGTTTGTGAGAGTTTATGAGATAAAATCAAAGTTTTATTTATCGTTTCATTTCTGCTGACCACGATGTCTCCTCCGCGGACGAACTGCAACCTGGGCTGGAAGACGAGGATATCAATGATGTAGATGAAGTCGAAGGTGTAGTCGGCCAGCAGCCACAGGTGGATGTTTTCGGGGGTTTGGTAAGGAAACGCCCAGCGGACGGGGATCAGCCATACGTTCCAGTTCCACGCCGCCACCACGAAGAACAGCCAGATGACGTAGATCAGGTCTATGGGGCAGAAATCCACAGTCAAACGTCTCTCTGACCTCCGTACATGACGGAAAAAGAAGAACCCATAAAAAAACCCTGGTAGCAGAGAGCTGACTATCATTTAACTTCATGTTCTTACTGCAGCGCCACCTGTTTGTGGTGACCTGAACTTCAGATAACCAAGAACCTGATCTTTGTGTAGCGCATCGTAAATTCGTCCCCCCCGGTGACAGTCTGACCCGGGGGGATGACCTCACCTGACGCGTCATGTTTCATCTCAAACCAGCTCAGAAACTTTTTGGCCACCAGCGTGACCTTTGCTCACCAGATTTCACTTCCTCTGACTTCGTCCACGTCCCACAAATAAAAATCAAGTTCAATCAAATTTCGATCCAACCTTAAAACTTTATGGTCAGTGCGTCAAGTGTGACATCATCAGATCCCTGTGACCCCTGATACAGGCACTTACGGTGTTCTGGCCTCTCTGCACCTTCTGAGGTGTCTCCTCCACAGGATACATGAGAGACTGCACAGCTTGTGTTTTACACTTTGCTCCAGAAGGTGCCCTGATGCTGCTGCAGCATCGCCCTCTCACTCGTCTGGGACCCTCTGAGCTCCTCACTGATCTATCTCTGAAAAGATATTAAAGACCGAGCTGCACCTGCTGGGCCAGAGTTTGAAGATCCAGAGGTGCACGACAAGGTGAAAGGACACCAAAGCAAGGTGCGCACTGCCATTCAACGGGGAAACAATCTACTTCTTTGTCTCTTGGCTCCTCCCTTTAGGGGCCACCACACCAGCTCTGTCACACCAACCCCCTGCAGTCCTCCTTCACTACATCCATGAACCTCCACTGAGGTCTTCCTGGCAGCTCCGTCTTCATCCTCCACCCTCCCTCCTCTGCACATGTCCAAACCATCTGAGCCTCTCTGAGCTGTCCCCCTGATGGACGCTCGCTCCCAATAAACATCTGAACATCTTCAGCTCGGCTTCCCGTGTTTGTGTCTGTGCCAACGAATCACAGCAGGTCTCACTGCCATCCTGTAAACCTCCCCTTCCCTTCTGTCACAAATTACCCCTGAAACTCATCTCCACCCAACTCCAGAAGCTGAAGCAGTGGGTGAATATGGCTGTCCTGAAAAGTGCGGTGATGGAGAACTCGATTTCTCACCGGTGAACGGGTCGATGCTCGAGGGGAAGCGGTACTCCAGGATGGCTCGGAGCCAGCCAGGCATCTGGGGAAGTTTGGGCAGATTGGGAATTTTGACCTCATATCCCAGAAGCTCAAATTTAAACTCCTTTTCCTCCTCCTTTTCCTCTTCTCCTCCTCCTGCTGTGTCTTTCTTCTCCTCTCCCGGGGGAGGCGGGGGAGGAGGGGGAGGCGGAGCTTTGCTTGGAGCTGTAGGGATCAGACAGGAAGCGCGAGAACATCATTTTGATGGTTTTACACTGATGCAGCTGAAAATCATTCAGTATTTGATGCAAACTGTTTAATCTCATCATTTATTCAAATCCTTCATGCACGAATATTGTTAAACTCATACAATCACTGAGCAAACCACTGCAGCGGCGTTTTGATGCAGGATTTGGTTCTATCTTATCAAAGCTTCTGACTCGACCTGACTCGTGAAACCGGTTTCTACGTACAGGCTGCGGGACTTTCTTCCTCCGATTCGTCCGGGTCGATCAGCCGTTCTTTCTGCCGCTCCGTCCGACCTTTGAACAGTCTGACGAGCTCGTTGAGGCGGTCCTGGACCACCACGCTGCCGACGCTGGTCGCCGACAGCGGACGTGTCCTGCAGGAGGAAGAACGGGAAGGTAAACATGGTGGACAGACAGATGGAAGCAGGGAGCTCATTGTGAGTCTGTGGGGTTTCTCTCACTCGTCGTCTGCAGACAGGTGGTCTCCCTGAGTGGACCAGACTTTCAAACCGACCCTCAGCAGCTCGGGATCGTCCTCGTCTGCAGACACATCACCTGCAACACTACAGACATCAACACGGACACGTGGAGAGGAAACAATAAGATGTTCCAGCCTGCATTTAGTCCAGATTCAGAATGGCAGAACACATTAAAGCTGTCAGAGACTGATGCTCTTACTGAGGTTAAAGGAAGTCCCTCCATCCAGAACACAGCACGATAAAAAATGCCTCTAAAACGTTAGTGAGCTCAACAAATCAACAACAGCACCAATCACAATACTGAAGAGAGCTCAGTCAAATCAGAAACTGTGAATCATTTTCAACATTTCCAGGAGACGCTTGGTGTTTCAAGGCCCACAGAGAACCCGAAGCTCTTGTGAGTTCAAACACAGACTTCAGACTTGCTTTTATCTTCATCAGACAGGGACCAGACGGGAGTCCTGGACAGAAATTTGTCTGCTCTTTCAACAGAGAGCCAATCGGGATTAAAATTTGCAATATTAGTGGGCGTGGCCTCTGTGACAGAGGGGGATGGTGAACCCTGAACTGGACCTCTGCACCGTGTTTGTGCTGTTGGAGCCTTTTGCAAAATAATTTTACTCCTTAGACTTCCCCTACACACAATATGTTTACTTTTTGTGTCATAGAGGGTTAAAACGGCAAAAAATTTTGCCAGTGGGATTAAATGGGTTAATGACATCATGTGACCAATAATATGGCTGCTTTGAGGTCACAGTACTATTGTACTATAGTGAGAGAAGTTCACCAAAAGCGCAGGTGTCCATATGATGCTCACATACCGTCTGTGGAGACAGACAATCTTAAAGATGTGTTTATCGTGGTACAACAGAACATCGCATTGGCCCCTGAATCAACTGATGGTTGTCTAACTTGTGTAGTAGAAGCAGAAAAAAAGCTCTTTAAACTGTTGTTAACTGGTCTCAGTGATCAATGACAATAAAGTCAAGACTCTCCACTGACTCATTCAGATAGTAGCCTTAGAATAACTGCCCCAATAACCACCCAAGACGTTACTCACACGGCTGCTGAGCGGCGAGACCAGCTTCTAATTTCGACCAGATTAACAAGTCAGCTTCATTAATGGTTTCAAACACAGTTTCAGATTCACAAAGCTTTTATTCGAGCTCTGTACTCCCCTACATTTACACTGTCAGACTCTCTGAAGCTAATCTTCAGTCGTGGCCACACATCTGAAAGCATATTGATTTGGTCTCCTGATATTTAGACTGAACCACTGTGAAAAGTGATTCTAATTTAATTCTTTGGGTTAAAAACTGCTTTAAAGATTTTGGCTTCGTGTAGCTCTGTTTTATTTTTATTCCACCGAGACGTCATCTGAACATACGACTTACCTCAAAGACCATCGGAGGCCGATACTGCGCAGGAAGATTTGGGATGAAGACCCTTCAAGCAGAGCAACCGTGCATTGCTCTGCTTGTCAATACTGACAAAGTTGTGTATATTGTAGTGTGTATTGACCAGCAGTGTTTGTCACTACTGGTCATTTACAAATATTCTTTGCTCCCATTGGTGCCTGCTTTCATTAAAGTTGCGAGAATATTGACTTGGGACCCGCCCACTGCGTGTTTATTCCGTCTCTTGTTGCTACACGTCGAGGAATTTCATTGATATCTGAAGATTTCTGGTTATCTTTGAGATCAGCAGATACAAAAATACCACCTACTGGCCAATCGGATCTCTGGAAAAGCACGTCTCTATTCCTGTAAAATTCCTTGGATGTTTGTGTGCTGAAGGTTAACTGGGTTAACTTATGGAGCTGAAGACCACCTTCAGGTGACCTCTGACCCTGACAGTGATAACATGGGTATGTCAAACGTCCTTTGGTGTGCAGGCCTCTGAACATGGAGATATGAATCAGTTCAAACAGTTTCAGAAAGGATGGAGCTAAAGAAAGATTTAAGGAAACCATTTACATTGATTTTAACTCAGAGTTGTGTTTTTAATCATATTTGGAGCTGTTAGATGTTTCGCTCAGCAACTTTTAGCAGGACAAGAACAACCATGAAAGGATGCAAAGTTGGACATGAAGACAGGATAACACAGACATTAAACATGGATTCTTTCATACATTTACATGTCTTAGCGTGGTAACAGCGCCCCCTGAAGGCCGTGAGCAGCAGCATACACGTTGTGTGTTACCTGAGCTCTGGGGCTGTGAGATTGTTCGGTTCTGGTTCTGGGGTGGTGATAATCTGGGGGATGTTCAGACCTTTCCCTTCCATCACATCCATCGCCTCCACCTTCAGCTCTGAAGCTTCAGCCAAACGTTTACTGCAGTTTTCTGAGGACCAGAAAATAAATGCAGTTGGACCTCAGGCAACGTCTTCCTACACGAATCAACTCGCCCTCAACTGAACCGCATTTCAGGTCGACGTGTTAAACTGCTGTTTCCAAAGCACCAGCGCAACTTTAAACTTCTGCTTTCATTTATTTGTAGATGATAAAATGCTGATTGTTGCCTCTGGACACATCCAGAGGAAAAAAAAAGAAAGAACTGATGAGGTTTTATGGTAAGAAAAATGTGTATTTAAATAAATATATAAATTTTTATACGTTTACGGGCCAAGTGTGTTCTCCAGTTTACAGATGTGTGGTGTTTACAAGAGTTATTCATCACGCTGCTTCATGAAAATCCATCACCAGGGGCAACAACGTGGCAGATAAAGAACTCTTCAGTAACAAATCCCATCACACAGACTATCGCGAGGTAAACATGGAGATTCTGTTGCCCAGTTTTGTTGGTGATTCAGCTCTAAACGACTCATTAAAAACAGCAAAGGGACAAGCACACAGCCTACAGCAGCTCAGACATCCACCTCCTCCTGATTACCTGTGGCGCGCTTAGTTGGCAGCTGATGGTGAAGCACATCAGAGCTGCAGAGCATGATAGGAGTGAGGATGAGGGGGAAATAGGATGTTCGGAGGCACTGGAAGTGTGTTTGTTTGGTTTGGCACTTCAAAGGTTTCGATCTACACAGATTATCTAGTCTATAATCTATAAGGTGTCTCTAGGAGTCTGCTGGAGGGGGGTGGGGGTTACGGCTGCTAAGGATCCTGGGACTTGGAGTTAAGGCCCCTGAAGCGGCTGTAGATGCTCATACAGCACTGCTGCGCCTGCTTGGTGAGCTGCAACAGCTCCTGGGTCAGCTGGGCGAGCTCTGGCGGTGGTGCCGGCACGGACAGCGTGGGAGGGGTGAGGTTATGGTTACGCATCAGCTTTGTGCAGCTCTCCAGGCACTCGGCAGCATGAGGGAATCGAAGCAGAAAGCTCTTTATCGGAGAGCAAATGTCAGGAACTAGACAGAGAAACAGCAGTGAGAAGGGTTAGCGTTAGGGTCCTAAAACCGGACCAGTGAAGGTAACGAAGGGCAAAGAAATCCATGAAGAGAGCAGTCGGAACAAGAGAAACAAGAAGACCGAACAGATAAAACCTGATTTTTCAGTCTCACCTCCACATCCACCTTCTTCTGCTTCTGCTGTGCTGGTCTGAGAATTAAGAAGAAAACAATTATTAAAAACAAGATATAACTGTCAATCCGCCCTGCAGTCACAGGAACATGACATGGTTGAAATTTCCTTAGAAAACCAGTGAGTGATTCTCAAGTAGAGATGCTCTTTTCCAACTGTTTCCAAGGAACCACAGGAATTGGATTTCTCACCGACGTCCACACGAACTAATGACCTTTAACACCAACAGACTGATCTCCACGACAGCTTAGCCAGCTCGGTCCTCTGATGGAGACCACTCAATACACTGAAAGCTCAGGACAAAGTCAAGCAGCTGGAACTCCTTTCTGACATTTTAGGTGAAATATCTGGGATAATCAGAAGAAATTAATCAGAGATTAACTCTTCGAAGTACGTATAATTCAGGTTGTAGAGTGCTGGTTTAGGAAGTGAGAACATACCAAAAAAATTAAGACCAATAAATAACAATGCCAGTGGTATCTGGCACCAGGTCAGCAGATCTTTCAAGTCCAGAACTTTTTCTAATGTGTCCTCCAATAATAAGTTCTTCAAGTTCCTAGATTGTCTCTTTGACTTTCACCAGGTTCTTCCTTTTGCTCTCTGGGAAAGAAGCCACAAAGATTCAGAGCCACTTTGACTCGGTCTTTTGTACATTCCTCCTTACATTCCTCAGGTTCTCAGCTACACCTCCCTCTGTACTCTTCCACCTTCAAGCTCATGGAGGGACACCGATTCATTCCCAACCAGTCGAGAGACAATCTCTCCAGCTTGTGTTGGTTCTACCTCACATGGGGTCTCCTCCTGGTTCGACATGCAGCAGGCATGCAGGAGACATCCTGGGCAAATGATGAACCACTGCAGGTGGCTCCTTTTCAGTGTGTAGGAGTCATGGCTCTACTCTAAATGAGTTCCTCCCCTTCCGTCCAGAGTCCCTTCAGGAGAAGCTCTTTTCCACAGGATGTGTCCTCGATCTCATTCTTTGGGTCACTACCTCATGACTAGGGATGTGTACCAGTATCCGGTGCCATGATGGCACCGGTTCTGACATAAACGGTAGTAACCAGACCGAAAAGCAGTGCACATTTCAGTGCTTTATTTCGGTCCTTTTTTTTTTTTACTGAGATGTCACACACTTTGGATTCTAGCCAATCATTTTACCTTTGCGAGCGTAGTAGGCAGGCCCAGGTACGTCCGTTCTTTTAGAGCAGAGCTACAGATTAAAAATGCCCAAGGCGAAGCGGTCAAAGTCTGGCTGTACTTCACAGCAAAAGATGCAAACTCAGCAGCAACAAGTGCTTTAAGCTGATACTGTGATACTGTCAAAGGAGGTAACACCTCGAATCTGATGAAACACCTGGCAACGCATAGCATTTTTTTAAAAGCCGAGAAATGCGCCGTATTTGATAGCTTGCTGCGAGACCTCACACCGAGCACATCTACTGCGGGTGTGGTGCCTGTTATCGGACCCGGAGTTAGCAATATCCCCCAAGAACCCAAAGAGGAGAGTCCTGGCCCCTAGCCCTGCCAGTGTAGCAGAAATGATGAGGATGATGATGCAGCAGCAGCCGTTCTTCTCTGCGTGAGTAGCTTAATGTTGTTCGTGTGTAATTTACGTTGAGTAGGCTAACCACGTTATTACATTAATGCATGTAAGGTGAACTAGCAAACACAGACGTAGTTACATGCGGCTGTCTTCTTGTTTGATGGCAGATACTCCCTTCACCCTGGCCAAAAAGGCTAAAATGACCAAAGAAAAATTGGGAAACAGTTAAACATGAGAGGTTTAGGACAAAGTTTGTGTTTTTTTCCATTGTTTAAGCACTGCTTCCAGCCAAGAGTGATACCATATATGCCCCATAGCTGCAGAAAAGGCTAACATTGTTATCTTTTTACAAAAAGACAGCTAAACGAGGTTTTTGGACAAAGTGTGTGTTCTCCATTCTTTAAGCACCAGTTCGAGCACCAGTTCGAGCACCGTTTAAGCACCAGCACCGTTTCAAAAGTACCGGTTTGGTACTGGTATCGGATAAAACCTAAATGATACCCATCCCTACTCATGACCAAAGGTGAGGGTAGGAAACTAGATCAAACAGCCCTTCTGTCAATCTACCGCTCACCTGTCAACATACTCGAACTCTTCTGCTTGGATCAAACTACCATCTACTGAAGCAGAATCCAGGAGACCATCACCTGATCCGTGGTAGTGGGTGGAGTTTCTGGAGGCAGTGGCTCAGGTTGTTGGGAGACTGGTTCTGCATCTGTTGAAGGAGTGGCTTCCTCTGGTGCTTCAGATTCAGTGGGTGGAGTTGGGGGCTTGTGGGTTTTGTCTGGAGCAGGCTCCACCTTTTCCACTTGAGTTGTTGCTTTGATTTCATCTTCAGCTGGGCAGACGTCTACAATGCACCTGGTGAAGAGGAGCAGCCGTCATTAACATCATAGAAGAGCGAACCAGACCTGCACAAAAGCTGCAGAGCTGATCCTTCCACTGACATCATCTGCACTGACAAGCAACAATTCACAGCAACGTTCATGTCAGAGTTTACAGTGTGAGGTGAATATCTCAGTGAGTTTCCTATGAGAAGCACGTGGGCACAGGAAAACTTACAATTGCAATGTAAGTGGCTTCTGTTTGAGGTATAATCTACTGTGGAAGGATCTGATAGGGAAATACTGACATTTGTACTCTTGGGTCCTGTTTATCTAAATTATGAGACAAAATGTTTGCAACTGGTCAAACATTCAGGCATAAGGTTGTACCCTGAACCCCATGGGGCAAATATCTGAGGTGAGATCTTTTCTCATTTTTGCCGTTCACTGGATAACGTTGTTATTATGGGTAAGTGTGTACAGAGGACACGAATCGCATTTAAACACATCAAATTCTTTCTAGAAATGGTGAGCCAGTTTAGTTTGGTTTATTTTGTTAATTGTTGGCGGTTATATTAGAAATAACAGGATGCTGTCAGCATTATTTGGGAACATCAATATAATCGATTACAATACCTGCCCTGTTCAAGCAACACTGCTAAAGAAGACAACACTGGGCTGTGTCTGGGCCTGTTAGTATTTTTTTGTTCTAAGTAATCAAGGTAATCGATTATACAAAGCAAAATGTGCCCTCTTGGCTGTATCTCGGACTGAATCTTCAACTATAGTTAACCATAATGAAGCCACCAGAAGCAGGTGAAACACAGTAGCTGGCTGACAAAAACAGAACTGCTTTATTCTGTGTGGTTATACCGCCTATAAAAAAATCCAACCTACCTTTTGAGATCTGCCCTGATTCACAGAAGAAAAGTAGGCAAGACGCAGCAGAAAATAAAAGGTAAATGTAATCACTGGAAAAACTGAAAGAAGCAACTTCTACAGGAGTAGTGCATAGTAAACGTCTGGGCATAAAAACTATTTGAACCAAAGTCCTGCCCTGATTTCTGGATAACCATAAACTCTGAAAGCCCCTCTATACATACAACAAAGGAAACATCTAACGACAGAAAGTTAGTTGTTGGAGACCAAAGAGAGCTTTACCAGGAGACTCCACGTGAATCCATCATGCCAGTTTGCTGAAGTCAGGCCTTTGTCAGCGTAACGAAACAAGTACAACATGCAGTGAAATGTGTTGCGTCCGAGCTGCAGACGTAGCCACACCATTCCAGGGCATTCGTGGCGATCGTGGCTCAAGAGTTGGGAGTTCGCCTTGTAATCGGAAGGTTGCCGGTTCGAGCCCCGGCTCGGACAGTCTCGGTCGTTGTGTCCTTGGGCGAGACACTTCACCCGTTGCCTACTGGTGGTGGTCAGAGGGCCCGGTGGCACCAGTGTCCGGCAGCCTCGCCTCTGTTAGTGCGCCCCAGGGTGGCTGTGGTTACAATGTAGCTGCCATCACCAGTGTGTGAATGGGTGGATGACTGGATGTGTAAAGCGCTTTGGGGTCCTTAGGGACTAGAAAAGCGCTATACAAATACAGGCCATTTACCATTCCTTTGGACCTAGCCAGGACCCTTACTGGATACTCGGAAGGAATCAAACTTACCACTACACTATCCAGCTGCCAAAAGCTTGCCCATTGTCTGCTTACCAAACCCCAGGATTAAACCAGGGACCTTTAGATCTACGGTGTAACGCTCTCCCAACTGAGCTACTTCAGCTGGCTGTGTCTGACATTCACCGTTAACAACAGGAATCAGCTTCTTAGGTTAAATCTGTGGTGTGAGGTTGTGTTGTTCAAAGTCTGGCCTGCTGTGCTTTTTGGGGCCGAGCTGTTATGACAGCTGGCTACGCTGGTGCAGATTAGGTTTGAACTTTTTATAAATATGCATTTATGTACAGGTGTCACTGATGTGACACATTTAAAATGTTTTCACAGAAGCACTGTATGGCCAAAACACATGTAGGAAATTAAACAATGTGTAGGCTGGACGTCATCAGTGACCCATCATAGGAAGGGCTGGATTTTGTTTTAACTACATGGCAAATTTTAAAAAAAGTCTCTAACATTCATCTTGGGTATACAGTTTAATTCAATTCAATTTTATTTCTGTAGCACCAAATCACAATACCAGTTACCTCAAGGCGCTGAAAGTTTAGTTTAACAACCGAATGACAACTTGAAGATTTGAAATGACCATTTCTCGTTAGGTCTTATTCATTGGCGCTAGAAAGGAGCCAAATAAAACCGGGTAGTGTTTTATTTGGCCAACCAACTCCTGCAAATACATTGGACTCTTTAGTACCCAGGCAACATTAGTGCTATGGAAAAGTAAACGAGCTGTGAACCAAGTTTGAGGAAAAAGCTATGGGAGAACTGACTGCGCGGCCCTCTGGTTTTATCCTTCAGGATGTTCTCCAAGTGACAAAACTGATTTCAGCTCTTAGTGCAGCGAGTCAAGTTCGAACAAACACCTGTTAAAAAGAAGAGATACCAGCCAGGAACGGGGCAGGACTTCAGTTTGCTCTAAAAAGATGTAAAAGGTTTAAAGCTTCATAAATCTGATAATGCCAGCAGGCACATCAGCCTCTTAGTGCACACTTGTGTGTGCAAACTATTTGAGTATCTTTTAGTTTCTTACTCTACAAGCAGACCAAATTCTATGACCAAACTTACTGATCAGATTTAGTCTCTTCCTCAACAGTGGTCTTGATTTTATCTTCCTCTGTCACTTTATTTTCCTCAGGACTCTGATTCTCTGTGCTGTCTTCACTGTCCTCCTGCAGGTTTTGTAACCTGAACAGCGTGCAGCAAATGTTAAATAAGATGGAGAGTCCCAGTCAGACACCTGAGACAGCTGAGCTCATCTTTCAACCATTCTGAAGCTAAAGGCGGTAGCGACAGAGCTAAGCAGAGAGCAGCGAAGGTGCATGAAGATGAAGCCTGCTGTTAAACTAAAAAGGCTAGACCAGCAGAAACTGTCCACAAACTACACTACTGTTATCCATGGACACATGGATATGCACACAGCAAACCTTTGGAGGCCTTATGTTGAAAATGTTGATAAAATATTTCATAACTCTACAAGAACAGAAACAAGTCGCACAGAGCGACAGCAGCGATCTCAAATCAATTTTCTATCAATTTAAAGAAAAACAGGCTGAATCCAACAATAACGCTTCCTATTCCAACAGCCTGTTCTTTGAATGGGACCTGAATGTATAGTATTTTTACGATTTCGTGCTCTAATTGTTTTAGATGTTCTCATAATTATAACATATAGAAGTTGGAATTTTTCAAGGTTTTATTTTTTTTGACATTTAATAACTAGTCGACTGGTTTGCGGAACCTGACTGATGTGGAAGGTCAGTGTTCAGGGAAGGATCTTACAGATGGCGTGACATAAAAACAGCTGTTATGAATGACACACCGACATCAGGGGTCTGTATGACCTGTATGTCCTGTACAGTGACATTGATGCCATACACCTTGGCTTTGTGTTGTTACATGACTTACTGTTGGCTAAGGTCAGTACAGTATAATGTTACATGTAGTACTAGTTAGTGTTAGCAGTTGTTTTTAACTTAGATGTAGCCAACTAGCCAATAAGCATTTACATTCCAGCGATTTTCTCAAGTAGTAACTTGAGGACACTACGGTTAGCTAGCTAGCTAACTTAGCTTACATAGCTATCTACAGAAATATGTTAGCTGTGTTATTAGCTAAATATAACACTATTAGCTAAATATGTTAGCTAATGTTAGCTGATAAAGTAACTTAGAAAAAACTAATTTATCTGCACAAACAGCCCTGGGAGTGAGGTGTGTGAGGTAGCTTACAAATCTTTAAGACTAACAAGTAAGCTAGTGTTTGCTTATATTAGCCAAGATTGACAGCTTTCAATCAAAGAGCCCCCATCAATAAAATGCTCTGCTGACGATAATCCTCATTTCCCCACACTTCAATTTGGCTAGACAGCATTCATTAGATGAAAAAGATTTTTTTCTAGTTATTGTTATCTAATGTTGCTAGCTAATGTGGCATCCTTTGATTTGAGTGCAATCAAAGATGAGAGAAACCAGCCTGTTGTTAAAGGCATCAAAGAGAGCTGGGAAATTTCTCTTTTCATGAAAGCGTACATGTTGCTGATAGGAGTTCAGCAGTAGCATGTAAGTTATTTAACACACTGTTCAACCCAACACTTGGAATATAAAGTGCTATGTGGATTGTGTTTGAGATAAGAACATTGTCTCACCTGTCCCATCACTTTCAGGTGATATAAAAGCTGCAGCAGCCTAAGCTAGGAGCACAAAAGCAGCATGTAAGACCCACAGCATTGTTATTTGGGCTTCACCAAAGGAAACTTACTCTGGATCATCCTCATTTTCTTCTTCCAGGATATTGGGCAGCCTGTTCAAAGCAAACAGGAGCAATTCGAGGTTTCAGGTCACGTTGGACTGTTTTCTGTTTACCATACTACTGCTCAGATGTTTGAGATACAACAAGGATCTTTTTTGATAAATCCCAATAAGCTCATAGGTTAGAGCACTTTGCCATGGCGCTGCTCATGCGTGATGTTTTGAATTGATGTTACTTACTGTTCATTGGACTCTGGTAGTGTTTCTATTACAATCTTAGCTGAATGCTCCACCTCGAGCTGGCGGACTGCCTCCTCCGCTGCCTTTCTGGCCATCTCCTCGGCCACACGAGCTGCCTCCAGACGCTCCTGCTGCAGCCTGTAACAAGATCAATCAATAGTCATGGATAGAAGAATTTATGTGACTTAAATAACAAAGACATCTTGCTAAAATTGCTCCCCAAGAACGCCCAAGAGACATCATCATCATCATCATCCTTATTGCACATATGAGACAAAAGACTGAGGCTAACCTTTCCTCCATGTGAGCTAGGACTGCCTCTCCAGCCTCCTTTTTGATGCTGTCAATCAGTGGACTCAACTCATCCACCTGTGATTCTGCATCTCCAGTCTGCAACCAGCCATGATTTTAGTTACTTAGCAACAGTTCACTCGAGCAGTCATCAGTCACCTAATGAACTCTGGTAGCACCATGATAACATTTACACAAGGCCTTTGTTAGTATTACCTTATCCTTCCCCATAGTGCTGAGACTGGAGTCTGATTCTGAAAACATTGTCAGACATAAACCGGTCCATGGCGCAAAAAAGGTTGGGGACTGCTGTCATATATCACACTATTTACCACAGTGTTTACAGTTCTCCTGCCATTTCACTTTTGCCATGGTACTGGAATACTGGTATCCTGGGTCTGCAAAACATACTATGATACAACCAGTACTACAGTGGTATTTGAAGTGCTGCAGTACCTAAAGTGCTTACTAAATAACTTATTCTGGTAGTACCAGTTTCCCACTGAAAGTGTTAATTCAAAAATGACCGTGGTAACATTTAGATGGCCACAGTACCAGCACTGGTATTAACACTTATCCTTCCAAATGCCACTGGGGTTATTGGACCCTTGTTCTTAAGGACAAAAGTTTATACACCATCTACAATCTTTACTACAGTGGTAATAGAAGTGCTGCCATTACTTTGGTGCTACCATAGTAGAGTGCCCTGTAGTTACTGTGAAACCATAATACCAAACATGGTACCATATAAATAGACACAGTGCCTACACTGGTACTACCATGTTGATTGTCCCATGGCATTGGGATACTGATATCCTGAAGGACATGTACTGGTAACTGAAGTGCTGTCATGCCTTTCTGGGACTACGACTGCAGAGCTGCTACCATACCATTCTTCCACATGGGTTAGTACCATGTTAGTACCATGTTACCTGTGGCAGAACTACAATTTGATTTAAAATACTTATGTTCATAGTGAGCATATTACACTGGTGTGGCTCAGAGCTGTGTGTTACAATCATGCGGTCAGGTCAGGCTCACCTCCTTTTTGGATGGCTTCACATCCTCTTTCTTCTCCAGCTGTGGCTCTTCCTTCACCTCCGGCTTTGTTTCCTTGACTTCTTCCTGTTCAATGTCCTCCAGCACCAGGTCTGTGTTCTTCTGTATGATACTGACTGAATGGCACATGGCAGGAAGAACAGGGCTGAAGACTTTCTCTATATTTATGTGTTTAGAAGTCTCCAAGAAGGTGCAGTAAAAGCTGGAGTATTCATTTAAAAGGTTGTAATAAGAAACATACATCAATCTAGTAATCCTAACAGATGGCTAGTATGAAACTTTTGCTTTAAAAAGGTTAAAGTAAAGAAATGGACTGTGTTTGGGGTAATTCAGGTAATTCATACTGAGTAACTGCATTTTCATTCGTTTTAGATGTGCGGGTTTAATTATTAGAACGTCTAGATTTTCAAACGGCTCCTTTTGGTCCATATTGTGAAGTATTTAAGCACCTGCTACTTAACTGGCATGTCTGAAATAAATATTTTAATTGAAGAATTTAGAAATAAATGTGCTTTGAGTCCTAAAAAAGCTTAAGTTGCTAGAAATGATTAGATTTTTGAACAGTTGATAACTGATTGATTGGTTGGTTGATTGATAGGTCTATTGCCCTTTTCAGGTTTATAACAACAACACAACAGACACCTTTTTTCCAAATAATGTCTTTATTATAATAAATATTAAGCAAAAGGCTTCCTTTGTAGTCGTCTGCAATGATTTAGCAAAAACCTTCAAAGGGGACCAGTTGTGCTTTACCTCAGTTTCTGGCTGGTATCATTTTAATATGAATAAACATATTTATGTTTATTTGTATTCAAAGTTTCAAAGACTACGCAGAAGTCACTTGCTACAGGAACAGCACCCTCATGACGTACAGGCAGTACATCTCAAAAACACAAGGTGCTGCCCCTCTGTAGGCTTCCATAAGTCAGGCAATCAGAAGGCATTGGGCTTTTAGAGATGGGTACCTTGAAGAGACGGGAGCTAAAGCAGCTAGTTTCAGACAGGAAACTACATAAAGGGGCAATATACGATAAATAAGAATTATTTTCACCTGAGAATCTTGCCAAGTTACTCTGGTTAAGTTCCAGGATTAAAAGATTAAAGAGCTGGAAATGAGAACAACTGGTCCCCTTTACCAAGCAAGCAGTTGACGTGGACTACCAGCAATCCAGAGTTCCCAGTATGAAGGGGCACCAAAGGCTTGGACTTTAAACAGAGCATAGCAATAAAGACTTCCTAATCATAACTGGTGTTCATTAAAGGGGACATATTCTGCTTTTTGTTTGTTTTCCTTCAAATATCTCCTGTTCAGATGGTGGAAGTTCATATTAAACATGGGCAAAGAGTGAGATTAACCCTAATATGGTCATCTCAGACACGGATGCCCCGCCCACCTTATAAAGGGCAGCTTATCATAAGAAAGGGGGAGGAGCTAACATAATGTTTTAGACAAAGAAAGAACTTTGTGAATGAACAACGACCCGGTGTGAGACAAAGGATTATTTTGGACTTTGAATCATGCAAAGCTACTCTGTTAGAGTCAAACAATCAAAACAGGGAGCAGAAGCAGAATGAGTCCCCTTGAATAAAATCATACAATTGTGCCCCTTTTCTAAGTTTAAGTTCCGCACGATGGCTGTGCAAAACAAAAGCAGTGCAGCTTTGTGAGCGCTACAGGACTGAATCTTGCCGTAGCTGTGCGCAAACAGCTCTGAGTGTCCGTCAGTCAGTTAAAGTGTCTGCTGCTGTCAGTGTCAGTGTGAGCGACTCTGTCCCGCTCTTCCTTCTCCTTTTATTTTAAGGGGCTCTGTCCGCCTTTCCCCCCTGAAACAGAAGGAGAAGAGCAGCCCAGTTACAGTCTGCCTCATCACTGACACCAACCCCTGACCTACCACTAACCAATCAATCAATTCGCCAGTGCACGTGTCACAGAATAATATAAATGGGGTCTTCTAAAAAAATAGATGTAGTAAGAAAATTACTTTTTAATTGACTTAAATCTGTAGCTCGGTTTAGGGTGTTTGTCATCGAAAAGTTTGGTTGTAACAATGAAACGCGAGAAATTTCCCACCTCACTTCTATTAAATCAGTAAATGTTTTTATATAGAACTTTAGTATATTTAATGAAGGCATCCAAACAACCAAATGCATTTTACACCCACTCCAAGAGTCACAGTGTAAGGATGAACCAGGTTTTCAGTCAGCATGATTTCTATAACCAACTTTCAGCCAACTTCAGAAAGTCTATATTGGGATCTTCATGTGTCAGTGGTGGCTGCTCAAAACAAGCTACAGCATATAAAAAGTCTCCTTTTCACGTGCATTTATATCGGATCATCGAGCTGCGTTTCCTGTTGTATTGTTCCCTTTGGGATGGATGGATGTAAATTATCTGTATCTCAGTATTTTCTGTCCAAGCTGCTCATCGTACAATTGGCCACTAATAAACTCACAACTGAGTGTGATGCAACTCTGATGTTGGTTTGTTGTTGTACTTACTGGTCTGCACCTCGTCATTTCCTGCATCCTGTATGAAGGAAACAGATGACACCTTCAGGTCACCTGACCTAACTGGAATTTTATGGCATGTTTGCGAGAGCTGAGCGTCGTGTAACAGCAACTCACCGACTTCTGCACGGGCTGAGGCAACATGCGACCGATCCCATTGACGATCCAGCCCATCATGCTGGAAGAACAACAAGAAGAGTTGACTACAGTCAACATCCGCATAGAATCATGGAGGTATGGTTTGTTTGGTTTTCAGGACCAAACCTGACGCTGAACTGCTTTTCTTCTGTCTGGACTAACGCTAGCTTCCCTGCTAACAAGGACAAAATACTTTTCTATCTCAACATAAACATGTTTCCACTTACTTTGGTGGCTCCTCGGCTTCCTTGGTGGACCTGTGAGGACAAAAGTAGGAGAGACCTGAGCTTCCAGCTTTGAAAAATCAAGCAAAGCTGCCTTAAACCTGCATTCTTCCTAATAACCAGCAGGGGGCGACTCCTCTGGCATGATTTTGTAGAAGGCTGTGAGAAAATGTACTTCCTGCTCACCTGATCTCTGAGCTAAGTAACACCTTCCGGTGAGTTTATGGTCTCAATCACTAGTTTTAAATCTTACCGAATGAAACATGATGCTCATTTTGTAAATTATGGTCCAATTTAGAGTAAAATAGATCATTCCGCAGGGCCTGATTCCCTTTTAAAGACTTTAAAACAGGACACAACACTGTGACAAAGGTTTGACTCACTTCTCGGTCTCTGGGGCTGGTTTGGGGACAGGTGGAGGAGCTGGAGGCGGAGCTTCAGCTGTTTAAAAGGGGAGGAGCAAATCATATTAGCACAATTTTACAAAACGGCACCACTGAATCCTAAAGTTTTACATGTCCAAGAAAAGGCATCTGGCAGAAAGAGGCTAAGTAGAATTACAGATGTTGGACGCAGCTTACACTGCTGTTAGCAACTGCATTTATAGTTAAAAAAAAATCAGAAAGCTGTCATCAGTTCGTAAAGATTTTCTTGCTGAATAATATCTAAACATGTATTTCCATAAAATGCTGATTCTATTGGTTTTTGTGAAGGTTATCTACAACTATGCTGACCTCTGTGTTTTCAACCAGGACCAAATATCACAAAAGTACAGCCAGTCGAAGGTGATTAAATGTCCAAATGTTTGTTTTAGAAAGAATAAGTACTCTCTTTTCTCCAGCTGTCAGCAGAACATGATGTTTCAGGTGAGCTCAACCAAGCAAAGCAGTTCAAATCAAACATTTACCACCACAACATGAAAGAAAATCTCTGAGCTAAATAGGTCTATAATGATGATTTGTGGCTGAATGAGAAGTAAAGATACCTTGAGCTGGAGCTTCAGCCTCCGTTTTTGAGCGAACATGGATCTCTGGCTGAGGAACCACCTTCTCGATGCCCTGTTTGATCCAGTCTATCATGCTGTGAGTAAGAACACAGGCAGATTGAAATATCACATGAACAGTTAGCTCCTGTGAGGTGGCTGAGTTCTGTTTCTTTGTGTTAACCTTCTGTTTATGTCTTGTTTGTCTCATTTTCTCCTCTGTCTATCTCAAGTTTTACTTCTTGTTTTGCTTAATTATCTTCACCTGAGTCTCATTTACCCATCCATCTCTCACCTCTAACATCTGATGCAGCGGTCCACAACCTTTTATGCCAGACAATATTTTCACGGACCGGCCTTTAAGGTGTCAAAGATAAATACAACAAAATAAAACCAGAACCAGTACCACAAAAAAGAAGATTTATTCATAACACAAGGAAAAGACCTGGGGAAACAGAGTTAACAATAAAGACATTTAAAAAATAAAATTAAAAAACGATAAAAATCTTGAAAACCATGAATTTCACACCTGAGCCTCAGCCCTAGTGGCCCGGTACCAAATGGCCCGGGGGTTGGGGACCGCTGATCTAATGTATAAATAGTTCTGTCCGCCCCTGCATCTTAATAAAACACAGACGCTTATTTAAAGGAAAGATAATGTTGTAAAACAGGACGCTGACCTCGGTGGCTTGTTTTCAGTTTTGTCATCTCGGTCCAGTTTCACCTCCACCACAGTAACCGGAGGCTCTGCAGCTGAAAGACAAGGAAAGTGATGATTGACTGAGCAGCAGCTAAAATCCAGTCCGTGTCTGCAAACATATTCAGGTCTGTTCTCACCTGGAGCAGGTGCAGCCTGACGCACCTGAGGAGAAACAAGCATGTAACCAAGGCAGGAATATTTTTGGTAAAAGCTAAAAATATGATCATGGAGATGGAAACACTGCAGAATCTGTAATCAATGATTTCCCAATGTTTAAGATTACTTTTAGCTTTCCACACACTGTTGGGGTTTCAGATTGTGTTCAGGATTTCTTTAAATGATTGTGGTGGATGTTGGACTTTAGCAGAACTTTTAAAAAAAGAACTATTAATGATCTAAACACTCCAGAGTCAGATGTGTGTTTTTGTTTAAAATAAAATTGAAATCAGAGATGTAAATTAGCTTTAATAACTTTAGCTGACAGTCGATGGCCGGGTTTGGTCAGATACTTAAAACAAACACTATTTACAACAACAGTGAGACCTTCAAAATATGCTGACTGCTTAGGTGCAATTAAGGACTGGCCAGGAGTAACTTGGCCGAGACATGAACAGCTTTCAGATGAAGCTGCTGGAGTCCATCAGTCAGTGCTGGCGTACCTCTGCCGGCTGCTCAGCTGTGGGCGGCTCTTTGCTCTTCAACTCAGGCTGAGGAACAACCTTCTCCAGACCCTGAGATATCCAGGCAATCATCCCTTTGCTAAGGAAGAAACATGCATTAATAACTGTGAGAGGGATTTTACGGGACACTAGGAGGCGCTGCAGAAGATCCAGCGAAGCTTAATGAAGGATTAAACAGGAGCTCGCTATCTGGCATCTGATCTATTGGTGCTTTTCGTAAAGAATCTCGATCTCTGGCATCCTGCCTTTGATAAGCTGCTCACTATTTGGCATTCCGCTCATTGATAGGCTTTTCAAGCTGCTCACTATTTGGCAATATGCCTGCTGATCGGCTTATGAATCAGATTAGTATTTAGTTTTTATTATGGTGGTTACTCACTCGTCTTCGGGTTTACTGTCAGGGCAGAAAATGCAAAGTCCATTACTGAGTCTAACAGTTCTGACGTTTCCGGCTTCTACACAAATATCACGAGACTGAACACAGAGCTGTTTCACACACAGCTGTTTACCTGGCTGGTTCAACTTCCTCCTGTGAGTAGGCAGCATGAGTGAAAAGAGAAGGAAACACTATGAGAACAATAAAAGAGCTGGACCTGAAAGAACTGCTGGATCCAGCTGCAGCAGATGTTCAAATCGATCAGACCAAGACTCGTAAAAACATCAGCGTTTTCTGAATCACAAACTAACTTCTCAAACTGGCCCTACGAGCGCTTTCAGAGAGACATCAAGCAGGTGTGGGGTTCAGATGAAGCTTTCAGGAAGGACTACAGGTATAATCCTGGGAAACTGTTATGGTGAGATTGTTAGCCAATTATAAAGATAGTGAGCATTCAGGGTCAGGTCAGGTCTGGACACTAGAAGAGTCGATCATGCTTGGAGAATATAAGTCAGCAGAAGAAATGGGCAAAGAGATCAGTTTCTGACTGTAAGTGGTCTCTTTGTGTCTCTGCTTCTGTTTATTTTTGTCTTTTTGTGACTCCTATTATTAAAAGAAGGAACAGTTTATGTTCTGGAAGGTTCACAGCACACTTAAACCACTAGTGAGATTTTAAAAAGTATCATTATTATGCAAGACTTCCGTTTGCTGATTTCTCCTCTGCTTTTAACAAGATGCAGCCTCATATTTGTGCGAGAGCGCGAGTCTGTCCAGGTCCTTGTTAACGGACAAATGTCCAGTGGGATTGTGTGAAGCTCTGGTTCACCTCAGGGCTTTGTTCTGGCACATCTTCTTTTTATTATGTACACCGACATCTGCAGGACGTCTTATGAGAACAGAGCACTGTGATCCCGTTTTACCTGAATTTGTAAAGTGGTGTGATGATAACTATCTGGAGTTAAATGTGTCAATAACAAAGAAAATGATTATGTAGTTGATCATTTTTAGACATTTCTCCTTGTATTCTAGTTTTTATCTTACTTTTAATGTATTTATTTATTTATTGACCTCATTGTTGTCGATCTCTACCTTGACATGCAACAGTGTTTGTGACTAGTGGCTCTGTGTGTGTAAGCTGCGATCAATTTTCTGTTTTTTGAAAATCTAAATCTGAAAAACTGAAAAACTGACTAAGGGCTAAAATCAGGACTGCCACCTTGTAAACCAACAGAGATTTCATCTGATGTTTATGAAAACCTCACAGACTTATCTTTTTGAAAAATGAAGCTTGAGTCTGACTCTGCGTCAGACCCAGGGTCGTTTATCAGGACCTCACCTTGGCAGTGGAGTTTGCTCGGCTCATTTTCGGTGAGACTGCGGGTTGAGGCAAAGCGCCGCTGATCCACGTCAGCATGCCGCTCTGAGACCCAGCTGCTGGGCTGAGGATGTAAACGTTTAAATTCAGGCTTTTTATTCACTCTCCTGGAACAAAGCAAAGATTTTTTTTCCCTTCTAAAGTAACACTGAACCGAAATATAATCAGGGCTCAAAATCAAAAATGCTACTGAAATTATGCAGCTTGTTTAAAGGCTGAAAAACATAAAGAGATATTTAATCTTTAGTGTGTACAAGGAAAATGTCCCTGGTTACTTCCCTCACTGGAGTCAGAGGTAAGAAAAAAGGTACTAAAATCATTAAGAAGGGAAAAGTCTCTTAGCAAGCTAATGGTGCATTCTCCAGGGGAGTATTATCACAGATAAAATTAAACTATGAGACATTCACAGTGAAGAATCCATCATTAACATCATGTTTCCATCGTGTAGTACTGTATTTTTGGACCATAAGGCACACCGGATTATAAGGAGCAAAACAAAACACTTTACTCAACTAGTTCTTCTTGCTTCCTCCACTTCTGTACCAATGATTCATTAATATTGAATTCTCTCACAGCTGCTCTATTCCCATGTTATTGCAGTATATTAAAGACTAACTCGTATTGTGGATGGATTATCTCAGTTGTTCTCCTGACTGAAGTTTGGCATTTGTCCCTAATGATCGGGAACCCTCACGTTAACTTTTATTGAATGGAAAAAAGTTAGTGTTTATCCACCAGCTTCACGGTGTTTATGTTATGCTAACATAGCTGTGCCGCTAGCCACCACGTAGCACATCATTATATACCAGCTAGCCCAACTTCAGTAACACTACAAACGTCACTACTGTTTAGTTTTCTGTCTTCATTTATGTTGGAAGTGATAGCAGAGCTGTACGTTTGAATTGTTTCAGAAATCTCTCAGTCAGAACATGCTATATCATGCTCAGGTGGAAGCTAGCGAGCTAACTTCCTGCTAACTTCTAACTCTGTTAAATTTAATAAATCCTGTTTTCATGGATGCCTGGATTTTAAACTTAATTGTTACACCTGGTAAAGCAGCAACGCTGATCATTTTATTACAGATGAAAGAATTTAGACAGTTTGTAACTCTCAGTGATGCTGCAGTGTTCGTTTGACTTTGGGACCTGAAGCGGACGGAGTTTTGGATCCAGATTACTCTGCGAGGCTCCTGACTATGGCAGCCGTAATGCTCCAACAATCCATCAAGCGGTGCGGCTTCATAGCTTACCAAAGTCGTACTAAAACATTTTTTTGAAAGATTTTTGAGTGCCGTGTAGCACATAAAATCAGTTCGAGGTCAGTAAGCACAACCAGAATTCTTATATAAGGCGCACCGGATTATAAGGGGCACTGTTGATTTTTGAGAAAATTAAAGGATTTTAAGTGCGCCTTATAGGCCGAAAAATACGGTAACTGTTAATAAAGTCTAACAGCTGAATGAAACAGGAATTTTAGAGCTATTAGTACTCATTAGTAAATCTGTATAATATTAGGTTTTAGGATTAATAAAACCTTTAAGTTAGGTTTTACTGAAAAATAATAATAAAAATAAAAACAATAAAAAAAACATTTTATAAAATGTCATAAATATCCAGCTATTTTTTCTATAGAAGTATTAAGAAAATTCAGAGGAAAATTAGTTTTTCAGTTATCTTTGAAGGACTAGGTTAGCATTAGATTTCAGCTAATTTAGCAGCAGTTTAGGCTAATGTAGCTATCAGCCATAGCTTGAACTGGGAACTCAGAGTTGTATATTTATCAGTTGTACCATAATGTTTGTTATAATACTGTTCATGTGTACTTTTCCAAACAAATAAACTCATTTGGAAAAATATTTGTCCTTATAAATAAAACCAGTGTGTGTTGGGATTTGCTGGAAATACAGTTGTAACTTGCGTATAAATAACAACTAATTTTTATGCAACTATGAGGAAAGGTTTCAGGAAATAAGGAGGAAAATATGAGCTGCACTGCTGGCTCCTTTTGTATAGTTTAGGTTTAACATTGTGTTTAAGTTTAAACATTGTGTCTTGTGTGGTATATTTGCAGGTTATAACTTACCCATTCTCCGCTCCTGTCTGAGGTTCCTGCATTGGTTTTTCAGCTTTTGGTGCTGTCAGTCAAACATTGATATATGTTTAATATTTTTAAAAAACAAAGATGCCGACTGAGCTACACAAAGTTAAACGATTTGCATGTGAATGATCTTACTTTCACTTTTGACTTCATCTTGAAACTTCACTTTCTTCTCCTGTTTAACACACAAAGTCATCTTATATATATTTAACTAAAATAATGCATAAAAAGTAACAGTGCAAATACTACTTCTGGATAAAAGTATTAGTATCATGATGGACATTTAGCACACACACTTCAACACCATAGTTTACAGAATCATGATAGTCCATATGGATTTGACAGTGACCGTAGTGAATTTCCTGTTCATTTTCTCTGATCAGTTTCAGAAAAAAGAGTTTTAAGCCTTGAAACAAGCCAATTAGCTCCAAGCTGAATCAAGATTATTAAAAAAAATATTTGATTTTGATGATGAGTTTCAGGTTCAAATAATGGGTCTCAACATTTCCATAGTAACGGTAACCTCCGCCAATCACCAACATTGTTGTTTCAGTTTAATATTAGACATTGTTAATAACATGTGTTTTTGTTAAAGTGTGGCGGTACCACACTGTCACGGCGGGGTGCGCCGATGTGTGTGGAAACAGGACCCAAAAGCAGATGATGACGAGGAATTGTAATGATTAACAGAAAGGTGAACCTTTAATGCGATGACGGCAGGGAAATGAACCAAGAGACCAAAAACAAACAGGCAAAACACTAAGAAACAAAATACTAAATGGTACTGAGACCAAAACCTAAACTATGACTGTGGTGGAAAAATAATAAACAAAGACCATGACTAAGACTAATAATACATAACAGATGAAAACTAGAACTATGACTGAGGTGAGGTAAACAGGCTAAGACCATGACTAAAACTGTGACCCTGGTGAGATAAACAGACGAACCGACAATGGCATGAAGAAAACAAAAAGCTTAAATACAGACATGAGGTGATCAGGGGAAGTGGGGACACATGGGGGAACAGCTGACAGACATAAACCTAATGACAGGACCAGGAGAGAAAGCTAAATACAATGAACAAAGAACACATGACATTGTCAAAATAAAACAGGAAATACTAACAACTAAACATGACAACACAACAGACCCAACACGTGATGAATAATACCAACCCAAAACATAGAAACCCAGAACAATAACCAATAACTGCCTAAACTAAAGGCAAAATAGAAATAACAAACTAATAACATATCAAAAAATACAAAGAAAACTCAGAGTGCTGGGTCGGAGACCCAGCCTGTGACACACACAGACTTGTGGTTTCCAGAACAGCACAAAAATTTGAGTTATTAAGGCAAACAACCCATTCTGCCTCACAATGCTCCGTAAACATGACACAATAAAACATTTTTTAGTTGGGCAAAGCTTACAGTAACTGGAGGCGGAGCAGCTGCAGGGGGCGGGGCAGGAGCAGGGGGCGGGGCAGCATCCTTCTGTTCTTCTGATTTTTTGGGCTCAGGCGGCTGGGGAACAACTTTGACCACCCAGCTCAACATCCTCAAAGAAGAAGAACAGACACTGTCAGCCATTACAGTGTGAACCTATTACTAAATATTATCGTCTTCTTCATGTCAGGGCAGGCTCTGTGTTTACAATCACTACGGAAACGCCTGTGGATATGAGGACACATGGAAACCAAACACAATTAGCTTCCCGCTGCACTTAATGGTGTTTAGATCATGTCTGGCTGAGTGTCAGTCCGAATTAGATCAGACCGATGCTGACCCTAATCCTCCACAGGAGGCCTGGCAGCACAAAACGGCTTTTCACTGCAGCCATACGTTCATTTACACTGGTCTCCAGTTTGGCACTTTTACTTTCTAATTGGGGTATGTGCCAATTAACCAGTTGGGAAGCTGACTAATTTGTTAGTCAGTTTTCCTTTTTTCCAGTTCTAAAAAAGGAAAGCCAACATGGAAAGATGTGAACATGTTATATTTATATTCTAAAACACTGCATTTGATAATGAAATACAACAACATTACCATAAATTTAACACTGAAGTATATTGTGTTTACGTTATTAGTCTCTATCTGGCTTGTTTTCAACCACAGAACAAAGTTGACGCGTTAACTGGTAAAGCTGCATGATTATTGTGATAAAATGCAACGTTAGCATTATGCAATGTGTTTTTAGGGTACAGATGTTACCATTTTAGGGCTGTCCCACAAAAACCACCGACTGACTCATGACGACCTGGCATCAGGATCAAGGCGCAGCAATGTGAAAGTATGTTGCGTGCATTGAAATAATGGACTCATCTAACAGCCTGAAGTCTCTTTGTTTTTCTGGAGTTTAAAGGTTGGTCGACTAAAAATGTCTTTTTCAGTGTTTAGTTGGACTAAGTCACACTAAAGAATCAGCTGTTTATTTTTTATATTTATATTTAGTTTTAATATATTTAGCTAGGTTAGCTAGCCTGGTTTCATATGCTACAATTAGCATCTTGATTACCGTCGCAAAGCTAATCAAGCCGGGTTGTATTAGCAGATAACATCACAGACTCACCTTTTTTTTTTTTTTTTAATATACGCAAGTCTAGCTTTAAAAAGTAAAACTTAAGGATTCATCTGTCTGTGTCTTCATGGTGTCTGTGTCTCTCTCACTTTTTGTTTTTGTCTATAAAGTAGCTGCTAAGCTAGTTGGCTCTTTCGCCAGGTGAGCGAATCAGCTGGTTTAGGAAAGCAGTAGAGCTTTTCGAATTGACTGGTTATTCTTTTTAGACTTTCAGATAACTGCCAAAAGAGAGAGCTTCCTAACTGATCGAACCCTCAGGTTAAACCAGATTTATCAAAACTAATCTGGACCATTGTTTTCATCCTGTAAAGTAACTAAGTATATTTTTTAAGTTACTTTCATTTTATGCTTCTTTATGCATCATCACCTCCTTATTTATGAGGTAAATATTCTACCTTTTGTTGCATAATGATGCGTTACACAAACCGTAAACTTAACCAACGAACCATATAAAGAGATATTATTATATTTCAGGAGTGTAATATTTAAAAACAGAACACTTACACATTGAATTAGTGCATAAATGATATTTTTACTTTTGCACTTTATATTTTGGGTTAATTAATACTTTCACATAAGTATATTTTTAATATAGGCTGATTTTTTGGATTTTAAAATTAGTGTAGTGCCACTTTTTACTAAAAGATTCGATTTTTGTTTCCACACACTGCAGCTCATTATTTGTGTTAAGTCAGTTTTAACTCTGTCATCCCAAATTACAAATTGCTCTCAAAGGATTTCAGAGTCACCAACACCCTCCAGCTTCAGTTCAGGTAAAGAAAAACTCACAGAAGAGCACCTCTGGTGAGTTTACAGCAGACATAACTCGGAGTTTTAAACCATTTTGACTTCATGAGCTCAAAGTTACTTAAATATACCCCTCACCCGGTTCAATTTTGCGACTTTGGGAGCTCTCCTGTTGATGCTTATGCTAAAATGTTAAAAAAGAAAAACATCTTTTGAAAATTCAACAGAAACCACGTTTAATTAATCTCTGCCTCAGTTAGACCTCCACAAGACCCAAAACTGGGGATCAATATCAAACAAATGAGTGTGTGTTAGCAGAAGTTCACGGCATCAGCAGCAATCAAGTTTATCAAATTTACAGGACAACCTGATAAAACCACAGACCAAGAAGAAAACAATAGTTATGGTTCAGCCTTGTGTCTCCTGCCCTGATTCGTTGGTTCAGGAAGCTCAAATTGAACTATAAGTATAAACAAATTTAAAGAGTACAAATCACCAGCTACTACCATTCGAAACCAGGGCATGCACCTGAACTGTAAGCGAAACAAGGCACCTAATCGACTTTATTTCATTGTTCTCAAAGCTACGCAGCATCCATGGAGGTGTCAGTGGTCAAAGTGTTGGGCGTCTCTTGTCCTACCTGAGTTGCTCAGTTGGGGTCCAGCAGCATCCCACAGAGCTGCGGGGAATAAGCCGTGTAGACCTGCAGGGATCTGAACACTGTGGGAGGATTACGCAGGAACTCTGCTAACAAGATTACTAAGCCGATGAAAGGCAGAGCAGGGCAAGACATGGAATCAGGTTACACTTTCAGAAGCTGAACCATGAAGGGAACCACAGTCCTCAAACCAAACCACAATGGTTTATCAATAAAGTTCAGATCTATCCAGCAATCGGACACCAAATAAATAACTGAAAAACAATCTTCCGATGGAAACCTTGGGTACCATCGATGTAAACATTATCCCCGACCAAGAACATCCCCTCTGTGCAAATGGCAACAGCCGACCCCTAGTCAGTCACTCTTTGCTAAGGAAGAGCTCACTGAGCAACAAAGAGCCCGAAGTGCTGATGGGACTGGGGATGATCAGTCTATGTTCCTGCCTCACCTATGGCCACGAGAAACAAGCTTCCTCTGGGCTTAGAGGGCTGAGGAGGTGCAGACCTGCTACTCCTCTATATCGAAAGGAGCCAGTTAAGGCGGCTTGACCATCTGACTGGGACACGTCCTGAATGACTCCTAGTTGAGGTGTTTTGGGCATAGAACAGACAAGGGGCAGAAAATGAAAAAGCTTTCTTTTGAGGTTCTGTTTTTAATGAAACGATCCACTGATTTATTTCTCTGTTATTAGAATCCCACCTGCTCCATATGACTGAATCTACGTCAGGAAAAAAGCTTCCAGGTCCAACGGTGACTAACATGTCAAGTTCAGTACCATCTCTGTCGCTGACTTGTTGTAATAAAGCTGTTAATAACTCTAATTTACAGGTTTGATTCCACAAGTCAGAGGCCTCGTTTGTCCTCAGAGCCGTGGACGTTTCACTGCCTTTTTTGTCTCTGGTTTGGATAAAGGTGGTTTGGTAAGGGCCTGGTTTTGGTTCTGGAGCTTGTTTACAGCTCTGAGCTGCAGCACACTGTGGCGACTCCGTGTTAAAGCTGTTAATGTGGCCCTGAGGATTAGCTGCTAACGAGGTTAAGTCCAGTGTCAGCAAAACAGAGGATCGGATGAGGCACTGCAGATACCTGAGCACCATCTCAGAGTGCACCTTAAATAAGGGTCGGACATTTTTCTGTCCTTCCTTCCGTCTTCTCTGCTTCTTTTGCTTTTCCCGTCTCCATTCTGTTTTTAATGTAATCTTCTCTTCTGTCCTTCCCTTGTCTCCTTTCCTGCACCCGGCAGATGTTTGACCTTCAGTTCTGCTGCATCATAAAAATTTCATCCTGTTTGCTTCATTTTTCTTTGTGTTGTGTCATGAAGTGTAATAACAGTCACACAATGAGCCTTTATGCTCTGCAGTGGACTCGGGTGAACTGGGCCTTTGCTGCCCTCTTGTGGATGATCTGTGTCGTCCTCAGTTCCACACACGGAGCAGACCTGGCTCTCGTTTCTCAGCTCTCATATCTCTGACGACATTGAGTTTCTGATTGTGTTATCAGCGCCACGCAGACAGCCCTCATTTTCTTTTTCTGCCCCTCAGAGTTCAGCTCGTCCCTTCGAGGGCAGCTTGAACTCAGCTTGCATTCCTCTGCATTACACCACTGTGTAAAGCTCCTCACCTCCCAGCAAGTAAACACCCTTCATCAGGACTCTTCACTTTTAGAGAACAGCTTTCAAAGGAGGAATCACATGTTTACATTTTTCTAGAACAAGTAATATTCAGAGACGTTGTTTATCCAAACAAAATATATCTGCAGCCAAAAAAAGGGGAGTTTTACACCTGCACAGATTACTGTAGATAAAACGCACGCAGCGGTATGAAACCTTTAAAGAAAGAAATCTTTTGCACAACTTATTCAGAGAAGCTAATCTCACTCATGACCCCATACTGCACACCTCGTTTTTATAGCCCCAATACACAGAAGCCAAACCCTGTACCATGAATCCAGTCCAGCATTCCCAGGATATCTTTTTCTTATCTGACTTGTCACATCCCAACAACATTGTCAGGATCATCAGGGTGGTTCAGTAAATCATCCCAGGGTTTCCCAATCAAGCACTGACTCATGGCTTTGAGTCTGGATTTTATCCAGCAGCTGTGGAGAAAGCCGAGGGTGGTGTCATCACCGTGCAGGTCAACCTGCCTGTGCTATGCACAAAATTACAAGCCATACAGATTTCAACAGAAAGGGATAAACTAAAAGGATCGACCACAGACTGTGAAACTGCTTACAGCATGAAGCTCTGTGGGCTTTGTGTCTGTTTTTTCTTTTATTAACTTTTCTCACATAAAAGCTTTTTATAAAAGAGAAGCAGATAAAAAGGAAGAGAAAACTTTAGCTTCTTTTTCAGGTGTTACTCTGGTGTCATTAACGAGGTCTACAATCAAGAGTTTATAACGAGGTGCAAGCCACGGATTACACTCAAGAACAGGAAGTCGAAAAAATCTAGAAGAGCCAACACAGCGCTGAAAAAAAAATTGTTTGGTGGAGGAAACCAAGATGAACTTTTACCAGGATAATGAGAAGAGAAAAGTATGCAGAAGGAGAGAAACACCTCATGATCTAGAAGCATCCATATCATGTGTCTAACATGGTGGAGGGGTGAGAGAAGGAAGAGAGATTAATAACAGGTATGATTCAGTGCAGAGAGGTCTATTAACACATAGTGAGTGAAGAAGAAACACCCAGTGCATCATGGGAATCTTCCAGCACCTTAGACCTATTGCAGCATAATTCAGGTAACCCTGAATCCTCCCTGAATCCTGGTCACCTTTTCCAGCTGTTAACTGTTCTCCAGGAGGGTTTCCTGCTGATCCTGCTCCAGCTGTGACCGTCTGTGGTAACGATGAATGTGCCTGTTTCTGTTCATGCAGGGAAGATTAAAACTGTTGGGATCAGAAAGGCTGACTCATGGATGACTGCTGAATGAGTGTGACGACTCGCTCAGCATCACCATAGCAGCTCGTTTAGACAATCTAACCCATCAAGGCCCCGAGTTCTCTGGCCACCATCACCCCCTCCCTCCACAGGGAGGTCACTTCCTGCTGGGACACACCTGAGACCATGTGGCCCTGTTACGATCAATAAAACTCCGTCACTGTCCCGCTCCACCCCGCCGCACCTGCTTTATCACACACTGTCTGGATAAATATTAGCAGGGCTGAACCACGCTGTGTCTCACTCGGGCCGTAGAAACTGTCAGTGAACCTGTCGATAAACTTCAGAAGAGGACAGAAAAGGGAAGTGTCACTGCTGAAGAGTGATCATGACATACAGTCTCTTAAATCTGATCTGACACCACTGTAAAAAAAACTCATAATTAAAAGTGTGCAAGTATAAATTGATTTTGTTTTTAAAGGCGACCCATTCTGCTCAGTTTGAGTTTAGTATTTTTATTGTGGGAGTGCATCAGAGCAGCTTTGCATAATAACACGATAAAAAAAAAAGATTTTAAAAAAATCTTTAAGTTCCTTAATTCATCATCTCCATGAAACAAGCTGTTTTATCTCCTGTCTCTTCAAGGTCCATCAATCAGAAGATAGATGGACCCTGGATGTTTTAGAAGCATGCACATGAGTTAGAGGTCACTACTGGACCTTGAGTACTGCTCTTCTTGTTCCTCCTTGCACAAAGAAGATGATACCTGTGCTGCTGGGCTGAGAGACACAGCAAACCTACTTCTGATGACACTTGGATGTGGATGTGCCATCACAGAGGAGCAGGACTACCTGCACAGCCTGAGTGGGCTGGCTGGTAGCCCTGGTAGGATTCAAAATCCTACGTCACCTTGTTCTCAAGTTAGTGCATTCAGAAGACTTTTAGAAAACCTGACCTCTGACCTTGAGGTTTTTAGCAGATGCATCTATGGTATCAATCTGAAAATCCTAGGTGACTTCCTTCTCGAGTTATTGCATTTAAAGCTTAGGTGTTCACATCTTCTGCCCACCAGCCCGACGGGGTGACGACAAAGATAACAAGCTAAAGTCGGTGACCTCCTGTGGACCCCGCTCTGCCACGACACTTGAGAAAGGCAGACTGACTCTGTGGTTATATAACCAACTTGTTAGGCCCATCGGATGATATAAAACTAGCAGCCTGACTTCACCTGACTGATCACCGAGCAGAAACCTTTCTGAATCGCCCTCATTCACTTTGCTTTGTTTCATGAACTTGACTCACAGACGATGCAGGAAGGAGTTAAATCATGAGCTCAGATTGAATTTAAGAAAAAATTTGTATCTAACTTTTAAAGCCTCCCACCAGCCAGCCAGCCAATAAGAATCGAGTGTTTTCTCGGCCCCTGGCGAGGCGATTTGAGCCTCGCTGAGGAATTTCTGCCCATGTGTCCAGCCTGATGTGTAAAACTCAGTGAGTCATGCAGGCAGTCAGAAGGCAGAGTGTGTGTGTGTGCGTGTGTGTGTGAGTCAGCCTGTATTTAAACACCACACCCAGCCTCGTCCTGGCTCATAACGGAGCTGCTGCTGCGTCTCTAAAGGTAAGAAATCAGAGTGAGCGGGGATATCGGGATATCAGAGAGCTTTAGCAGCAGGAACGATTTACGACTTTTCTTCTTTTTTCTACTTCAAAGAGTCAAAAAAGAACGAATCGTGTTTGTTTCCTTACTTAGCAATGACTGGAGGCTTTTATTTTGAAGCCTAGAGGATGGAGAAGTAGTTTCACTTACTTTTAAAGTATTTTTTAACCAAACATTCAGAAACAAAACCATCAATTCAAGTGTTTGTTTGTAATTTTTTAAGCAGCATGAGCAGTTTTTACAAACGCTTCCTCTAAAATCCGCCAAAATAAGAGTGAAATGAGTGAAACCTAAAGCCACCGGTGATTAATGCTGGACAGAGAAGCTGCAAACAACAGTGATTTTATAAAGCTGAAGTGCTTTGTTGATGTAAAATGTCTGCAGGGTTATAAAGCTCAAAGTCCGCTGCAGATGGAGTCGTTCTGTCGTGCATGGAGCCGAGCCGCCGCCTCGGAGCGATAAATGAGGACTGGCTGCAGTTCGCTGTGCTTTCATGTCGCCTTTCATTCTTCAAGCTGCTCAACTTATGTTAGCAACTAAAGTGAGTGCGTGGGCTCATTTCTGACTCTGAGTTTGGTTCAACAGGTAGTTTTAGGTTCTTCCAGATGTTTGGAAGTAAAAACAGCTTCACAGGGAAACATCGCTGTGACCATCATCTCCACACTGCTCTTTATCTATGACAGATGTACCCTCAGGCTCAGGGAAGCTCTTATTTTACACTTGGGTCGTAGAAACTACAGCTTGTTTTACAACAATATAAACCTGTAAAATATCTAAAAATCTG